GCCCCTAGAGTGCGATCATACCAATTGGCATCGCGGATGTTTCCCCAGCGCACTATGCCTTATTGGGTGGGGTTAATCTCACTTGGGGAAGACGCTAGACTCGAAGGGGGCAACGGCAGTGGAAGGCAGACGCTTCGATGCGCTAAACCCACGAAACTGGCCGTTTATTTCCTGATTTTATTGTCATCGTTGAATCCGCCCTGTCAGTGTTAGTTGTTAATTTTAAAAAATTTAAATTAAAAATAGTACAGAGAAAAAAGGAAAAAAAGAGAGAAACAAAAAAGGTACAACATTCCTCACCTGTTCTAATTCATCTTCTTTTTCTCCCCTACTCCCGTTCTCAGACTCAGATCACATTCCTGATATTCCTAGTGCGAAGGGTACCTGAATAAATTCCTCCCTCCTTACCGCGTGCAGCTCGTGCCTGCAGCTTTGCCACCTGATCGCAACCTTTTTCACTCTGGTTTCGACTACAGTCTCGTCCTCTCTCTCTCTCCACTCTCTCCTCCCACCCCACCCCACTGTTGATTTGCACTATATCTCCGCACATTCCAGCCCTGATTGAGATTCAGTCTTCCCTGTCTCAACGCATCCTGCCCCTTTTTCTTTAAATTCATGCGCTGTGTGTACTGACTGGAGGGAAATGAGCTGGTCAAACGCCTTGTGAAACATACATGCAACGTTTAGGGGGTCACATCCAACGAGAAGCAGACCCATTGTTATTTCACTCGACCGTCCCCTCGGTGTGTCGATCCCTCTGTGTTTACTCTCTTGAGAGACCGCCTTGACCTGTGGTGCAGGACTAAGACTGACACCGTCGAACTTATTTTTAACTTGCATTCTTTTTTCTTTTATTTTTGTCCCCCCATCTCTGGACCTTAATTTCACTGAAGTAGTTGTTCGGTGTCAATTACCGAGTACGCTTTTACTGCGGCGCGGACCCTTACGTGCGATGCTTGCCGTGTCTCTGCGACGTTGCTAGGATTGAGAACCTGTGCGCGAAGCGAAGCATTTACAATGACAGCAATGGCGATGGAAAAGCCCGAAAATATGGTGGCTGCCGGCCAAGGCCCAGCGCCTATGAAATTTTCCCGCTACCGCTCTGTGAGGAAGGCCGCGTCGCAAAAGCCACACCTAATGCAACCGCCACCGGTGTCGACTCTTCCAAGTCTCCCAAGCGCATCACGACCCGGGCTGCAAGATGGCGCAGCTGCGGTAAGTGAGACGAACCCTGCAATCAAGAGGAGCATGTCGCGCTACCGGCGTCAGAGGGCGGCGACAGAATCGTCCCCTAACGCGCCTCCACTACCGGTCCCGGGAGACCGTGTCCTGGCCCACCGAGCTAAGCTAAACGTGGACACGAATGGTGGTGCAGTCCAGAAAGCCACGCGAGGCAGCCCAGATGATGTCAAACCTGTGGATGCGCCGTACAATGCGATGTCGGCCAGAGCTCAGAACCGACGGAGGGCGTTCAACGTGGAAGAAACCACGGTGAACCCCTTCCTGACCGACAGCGAGGAAGAAGAAGAGGTGCGCCAAAAACATCGGCAGGATGCAATGAATCGCTTGACGGGAGAAGACCGGAACCCTTCAGTACCGGCTCCACATCGGAGACACACGACGCGGGAGAGACACGTCAAAAGGCCAGAGGAGCGGCCTCCGCGCAGAGACGCAGAAGGTCCTGCAAGCCGACCTCCTAGCCACGACTCGAAACGTCTTTCGAACAAGGAAATGCCCATGCCTTCGCGCTCTACAGACAAAGCGAACAACGAGGTCACAGCGATCGATACGAGCGTGGGAAATCGTTTCCCCGGGATTGACGCGCCCGTTTCTGCAGTCAATGCCGGCGAACGCAGGGTTGTCGTACAATATAGGAAGACGTCCCTGAATCTTCGGGTTACCCCGTCCACAACAGCCCAAGACCTATTGTTCCTAGCTGCAGATTGTCTGTCGGGCCAGATCGACCCACCCAAGTTTATTATGATGGAATCCTTTGGGGAACTCGGACTGGAGCGGCCTTTACGCACATACGAGTGCGTCCGGGACGTTATGAACTCATGGGCCCATGATCAGGAGAACTCGTTGATCATCGTACCCGCGGCCAGCCTTGACGCGCTCGCTTTGTTGGACTCGCGACACGCGCCGAGTGAACAGCCCACGGAGGTGACGCTGCACATGTATTATTCCCAGCGTCCGCGCAAATGGGATAAGCGCTACATTACATTGCGGGCGGACGGACAGGTCGCTTTGTCTAAGAAAGAGCACGGCCAGGACTCAGTGAACGTGTGTCATCTGTCTGACTTTGACATTTACTCGCCCACATCCAGCTATCTCTCCAACAATGTGAAACCGCCAAAGAAGATCTGCCAGGCAATCAAAAGCCAGCAGAAATCAAGCATGTTCCTGACGACGGAAAATTTTGTCCATTTCTTTTCCACCAATGATAAAGCCGTTGCCGATACCTGGTATCGAACGGTTCAATCCTGGCGCAGTTGGTATTTGGTCACGAAGCTCGGCGCAGGCAGCCCAGCGGACCAGGCTGATGCCCCTGCGGACGCAGGTGATGCCTTGACTACTCACAAGAAGCCCTTCAAGCCTTTGTTGAACTTGGACTCTCCTCTCAACTCAGGTGCGGAGAATAGCGACTCGCCGACCGATCGTCCAAAGGCGTCCAAGGCTAAGGAACTGTTCTCCAGGAAGAAGAGCACACGAGAGCACGCGCCGCCACCCTCATCGTTTCCAAAAATGCTTTCCGATGAAAGTGACTTGTCCGCTGCGCAGTCGTCGGATGAGTCCCCTTTCGCCTCTGGTGGTCTTCTGGGTCGAACCTATACTCAACGCCAACGTGCAATGAAGGAGAGAGAAGAAAAGGAGAAGAAAGCTACGGAAGAACCATTCACCAATGGCCTTATCGGTGCTGTGGATACGCGTCGTCAGTTTGCTGGCCCTGGTAGTCGCGCTGATAGCCGACCAAATAGCCGCTCGAACACAATGACGTCCACGCACGCGCCGGACCCCAGTGGCATTGTCAAACGGTCGCAGTCCGTAAAGACCAAGCCGCTTGTCGATCTGACTCCTGTCTATCAAGAACCTCCGCAGCACACTCGTAAAGGACGAGGGGTCACGGTTGAAGCTGGAAAGCCTCTTGTGGATGCTGCGACGGGACCGGAGGTCCCTGGTGGGATTATAATTCCATCTGCGACGACCTGGAGGCGACCGGAGCTGCCGTCGCCCACTGCGGACGTTCGAACCCGAAAGCGCTCCAATACCACTCGCAGCACCAGTAGCCAGCAGCGCCACCAGTACTCACGTACTGCGCCTACGTCTCCGACAACTCCTGTGGACCCTTCGCCATCTCGCGAGGAGCCGTTCATCCCAAACAGCCTTCTAGCTCGTTCTGCACAGGTCGTGGCTGTGCCTGGACAGCCCAAAGGTCATGGAGTAGCCACTGGAGACCGGAACGCCTCGAAGCCGATGCTGGATATGTCCCCAGAGAACCCCTTTGCGGAAGGCAGCCTGCTCCGTGATTTGTAGCTTTTTTTTTTTTCCCATTTCATTTCTTATGATGATGACATGCACCATTTGTCCAAGCATTGGATGCTCATTTGCCAGTGGCGTTGGATTGGTTTCTGTAGTTGACTGCATCTCGGAGCTTTTTATTTTAGATCTAAACCAAGTCTTCCTGGATTTGTTCAGATGATATCCTCAGTTGTTTTTGCTGACTGACTGATTTTGTTTGCTAGTGACAGTTAAACTGACAAGCACTTAGTGGCTGACCGTGCACCAGTGTTCTGAAAACATGTACTTGAGACATCACTTGACTGTCTAAGTTGATACCCTTGAACCAGCGAGAATACAAACATTTTTTAACCTTGAGCATATGTAAACACACAAAGTTCATAACCATAAGTATACTACTAACTAACCGACAAATCAATGGAAACCATAACCAAAGCAACAGAAAAAAAAATACAAACCCCTACTAAACCCCCTCAACTTCCCGAACAAAATATCTTATCACCTCTGCCGTCTCCACAGGCATACTATAAAACGGCGAATGCGAAGCCCTCAACGTCCCCGTCAGAACTGGAAAAGGGGCACTCCCTCTCATCATCTCAACCAACATCTCCTGAACAGGCACCCCCAGTGCCCGATCCTCCTCACAGAAGATATAAGCACAGGGAATATCGCGCCAGGGCTCGTAATTGACACTCTCCGTATACGCCCCAATGCAAGTATGCGTTAACTGCGCCTCTGCTTCTGCCAGCATCTCAGGTGAGAGATCATGGTAAAAGGATTCTTTGGCGGAGGTTGCGTGGCAGTATGAGCCCTGTATAGAAATATTTTATTAGCCAGTACACAGGTACACCGAACCACACCGACATCTAGAAAAAAGGAAAAAAAACAGGGAGGGGGGAAGACACCAACTTCCAAAACCATATTCGCAGGTCTATACTCCCCCAAAACCTCAAATAGACTTTTGCCCTTCGGCACCAAGAATGCAGTCATATAAACCATAAGCACAATCCCGCCTTGCAGACCCTGCTTGCCACGATCTTTCTTCCCGAAACCTTCGGCTGCGTTGGAGATAACGAGGCCGCCGTAGGAATGGGCAATTAGGACGACGTCTTTGCCCTCTTTCTCGATGAGATGGGAGAGGGTGTGGCGGAGGTTGGTGGTGTCGTCGGTGAGGGTTTTGGTGGGCGGGTCGGCGCCGTTGGTGGGGTGGGCGATTGTTTGCGCTGGGTAGCCGGCTTTTTGGAGGGCGGTTTGGAGGTAGATCAGGCTTGCTGGGGTGTGCCAGGAGCCTGGGGCTAGGAGGAGGGTTGGGGACTGTTTGGGCTGGGACATGGTTGGTTTGATGGAGGTTGTTAGGGTGGACGATGGTGGGTGTGTTGGTAGATGGGGAGGTGGTGTGGGAGGGTTGGGGGCTTTATATTCATGGTTGTCTAGATAGATCAGGGAATTGATGCTGTATGGTGTGATTCACCGGGTGTACCGGCATATTGACATTGAATAGCAACAGGTGCTTTTGGGGTCGAAAGGCTGTATATTGGTTTAATTTGGTCGCGGAGTTGAGGCTATGCACAACTATCTTTCCTGATCGATTAGGGTTCGGAATCAGATCGTACAGGGAATACGAACCGGCCAATTAAATCGAGCTATGTGGGGTTAATTAGTGTATACTACTAGTATAATAGGTGCAGAACCAACGTCAGATACGTATTACAGCATGGAAACCTTCGCCTGGGGTTCTGTATAATAATTATGGCAAGTTGTACTCCAGCGCCCAGTCCAGCTCTGTAGATAACTTGATATTCAGAGTATGCGGGGGACGGGGTGGGGTGCTGACAGGACGGTCAAGGTATAGGAGAAGCAGACGTAGTGGGATATTCGCTTTCTCAGACAACCAAGTGCAAATGCTCCTGCTAGAATTGCTAATCCCCACATGGGCGAACTGGATCGACGAACAGGCACGCTGCATGGACCAGAAACTTGCCAACTTGTGGGCTATACCCATCTATACAATTGGAATCACCCAAATAGTCTGACATTCTGAGTTATCTGAATGACCTGTATCATCGAAAGTATCTATTTGAGCAACCATATCCTGCGCGTCGGACCCACACATCCAGGCATTTCACTACGATTTCTAAATATATTGCTGGGATGGCTAGACCGCTTTCTGTTGAGATAAACCTGATGCGATAATCCAGTGTACACCAATACCATGTCAACCCTCGAAGTGTCCAGGAGACTGGATGTTGGTACAATCACAGTCATCAGGATGTCGGTTCTCGATAGTATTGTGCCATTCACAGGAAAAAATATCAAGTTTTCGTTATCCAAGTAGGGAAGCTTACCTAATGAGGCATCCTTTCCCCCTTCCTCATTTCTACTGCTCATTGCCTGAGAGCTCGTTTCTTTGCCTGACATGCTCATCGAGGCTTTAGCGTGCCTCAAGTGACAGTCGTATCTCTAGCACCGAGTTTTGTGCCGGGAACGAAGATCGCTCAACCCTACTTTGTTGCTCGTGGTAAAGTCGCCCTTGGAAATATCAAGGCTGAGGGAGTTGAGGTATATTTGACAGCCTACATCATAGAGACTCAGCGTGGCAGCCCCTAACCACATGAGGAATAGTGACCAACAGTTAAAGCACAGCGCTTGCTCTGACTGGACAGTTTGGACGACCAATAATGATGCTTAAGTGTGGGTGTCCTGGCGAGGAACCAGACCAATTGGCTTCATAGACACCTATGTATCTCACGGACGAGAGAGGACCGGCGTAGCTAGGTTTGAGGATAGCATTATCCATTTATTTAATATGTCATGAAATTACCGGATAAGAAGGTGACTATATCGCCGAACTCTGGCTTTAATATGACAAGATTACGGCAATAGTAGTTAGGATTCAAGGTATGTGAGGTGGCTCTGATCGCATGTGCCTACGTTTGGATTATGTTGTAAACAGGAACCTTATTTTTGAAAGACGTAAGGCTCTCTAGAGCCTTCATTATTTATTGGCTTAGAGGATGGTGAAGGTAAGGTTCATCAAATCGAGAAATTGGACTCTAGCCTGTCATTTCCCCATGGCGTGGGGCATTCACTAGATTCTACTCCCTTACCGGCAAAACCAGCCCCACCGTTAGGGTTCGATTTGATATACGAAAAATCAAGCCGCTGTATGGCTTATACGTTTGGGGCTCTCCATGGAGTCAAGAGGATATTATTCTCCAAAGGCGATGGTGGGCGCCCACGTCGTTCTACTGAGCTTTCTGGTCTGTGGATAGAACATTATGGATCCCGACGACCAGCAATTATCGGACAGTGGATTTCGGAAGGAAGTTCTTTGACCTTGGAGCAAGGGGAGAGAATAACTGGAGTAACACTACTAGTAACCAAAGATACAGTGACCTATCGTGATAGATATCATCTCGGCCGTGTTATTCAAATGTCAATATCCACTTCTATGCGCATTGAAATGCATCCCAATGACTGCTCATTATCGATGGATGAAAATAACAATATTCTGCGGTTTCAAGAAAGCCATCTGGAAGAGCTGGTAAGAAGACCCAGTAATTTCCTTTCTTCCGTATATATTCCAGTATTACTCACCTAAATTGACCAGTCAGCTCTTGCCTGGGTATTTAATGACGCATGGGATTTTCCATGTGTCATCTCCAGTCCCAAGGCTACTGGAACACGCCTGTTAAGCTGGGATCCGTCAGAGATTTCTGTGTATCGTCCATGGATTGCAACGCACAAAGCTCTATTCAAGGAGGCAAAACCAGGATGATAATCTTTCGTCTGTGACGGGGTTTTACAGCCGTAGACATCCGTATGTTATAGTGGGACTACGGCTTACCTATCAATCTGGTTTCTCTAGAGACATAGGTGATGTCACTGGACGTCAAACTCCATGTTCCGTAGAGCTCGACCAGAGTGATAGTATTGTTATAGTTAAGTTATTTAGGGATAGGGTGGGCCTTGTTTCGATGAATGTGAGTTTCTGAGCCTTTCGAGGACAAAAGCACTAATAAGTAATTCAGTTTCATACCGTACATCGGGACACCGGACAAAAAACTATTCGTGGGCTGATCGACATACCTCCTATCGAGGTAACGAGGCCTGGGATGGGAGGCTCCATCCAGCGCTACTATATCGATATATTCTCGGGGCTTCTCAGACAGGATGTCCTAAGCTCCAGAACCCCTGATAAACGTGAAGTAAGTATTCCTCACGGCGAAGTGGTTGGGCTCTGGGGCTTCCTCATGGCCGATAATGGCCTTCACATCGGTCTTCTACTTTTGCAAAACGAATAATTTCGAAGGCGACGAAACCGTTCCTTGTTATTAACAAAAGCGGAGTTACCGGGGTTATTCCTGTATCCAATGCACTTGGGGTCCATTTGTGCCTTTGACTTTCCAGACAGAGTATTTCCTAGATGTGGCTGGGGAACCCTAAACGCATGCAGATCAAACGTTCTTGTACCAGCGCTGATGCTACAGCCCACCAGGAGCTACTCGAGGGGTGCCTTGTATGCTGATTTTCAATGTATACCACACGTTTAACATCGAACTTTGAGCCTTTCCCATACATATCTGAGCCAACTTTATCCACATGTTACCACGCCTGCAAGTTATGTGGCCCACGTTTCTGGCGCATTTCACAGATGCCCGCGTATTTCTCTCAACTCTAGCGTCATCCATATCGAATCAAATGTAGCCATCGGCTTCGCCCTACGTATCCTTTTTCTTTCTTTGAAGCGTGTCATGCACTACTGTCATAGCCCCATCCATTTCACGCGACAAGTCGAATTTTACGGTGATCCTCTAAACCCTCCCTTCGGCATGAAGCGACGGGCTACTTTTTTCCTGATCAAAATGACCCCGCAGAGATATGCACCTATAAAGCGAAACTTATTTGCGAATCTCTTCATCATACTTGTGGCGATATGGATAGGCTACTCGTTGCATTGTCTTGTAACCAGCTGTCAAATTGTTTCTAAACCCAGAGGGCCCATCTCAAACTAGGATGACTTGTTCGCCCCGTTTCCCGCAGTAGGTATACCTCTTAGACAACATGCGTAATAGAAAGTTAAAAAGCCTTTACTGTGTAGACAGTTTACCTTGAATTAGAAGATTGGAATATACACGGTGGTTATTGGTAGGAGTCAGTCAGTCATACGTATACAACTTCTAGCCTCAACTTCCATGATGGCATTGTTCAATGTACGATAGACAGATGTGCCCTACTATCAAGTAGCCACGGCGCGTATACCATACATTAGTCTTCTTCCTGGGTGATAAACATAGTAACAACTTCTTAGGAGATCTAGTCTTGGACTATTGCGATGTATTAAGCGCCTATTGCAACGCAAGCAATAAGAGCTTGGTGAGTGAAAGTAATATTTGAGCTAGTCTCATATCTCGAAGTCCTTTATTGATAGATTAATACCATAGCTTGGAGTTGAAGTATGTCGAGTTGGCGGTTCAACCCTGCCAAATCGAACTCGAAAAACAAAGCAAGACCTCATGTGCCATAGTAAGCGCAATAGTATCTTGGTAGATTGGTAAGTCGACGTCCATGTTCACGCTACTGAAAATAGGTTGCTGTATCCCCCGCCATTTAACGCTGGAGGCCGCATTACCTTTACTTCATTTAGGGTTATACATTTCAGTGAGTATTAAATCACCAATTCCGAAGTTAGGATTATTATTATCAAATACAGGTCTGGTAGTTGAGATTCTATTACAATTGATATACGCGCCTTTGCATCCGTGTCTCCCTTAGAAGATCCACGATTTAGATACGGTTACCCCAAAACTCTGAGACGCTTTCCACTCTCACACAATAAAGCAATCTAAATACTCCCACCAAAATCATGTCGAGCATAAATAAAGTCACCATTGGTAGCTTGACTCCTGCACACCTTGAAGCCTTTACCCAAACACTACACAAAGTTATATCGAGCGAGCCTACACAGCGAGCTCTAGCACAAATCGTTGACGGCATACCTACCCGTACAGACTCCAACGGATGGGGAATTCGTGAAGGCCGGTCTAAAAAGAAAGGATGATCCTTCAGACGAATCAATTGAAACTGCCAAAGGTTTCCAGACCAGCTTCAAGCTTGAAACCCTGGATATATCTCCAGGTGTTGAGTCCACGGTCACTTCATCCATTTTATTATCCAGGACTAAACGATGTACAGCAAGCAAAAGCATATAAAAACACCAAAATAGGATCAAGAGACTTCAAGCTCCGACTACTAGAGATAGCAGCCATTTCATTCCACAATATTGTCGCCCATCTCTTCCAATCTCTCGAAGCAGACCCCGACGCCTGGCCAAGTCGTAATCATGTACCGCACCCCCGCGAACCAACCTGGTTCTATCATTCAGACTACCTAGACCATGACCAGTATCCACTACGAATTTCTGACGTGGTTGGATACTGGGCTGAAAAACAGGTCTTTGGGGGGGTCGTGTTATTTGATCGAGGAGAGACTGGGAATGAAGTAGGGTCTTTCTCCTTTCCTGTGATTTGTATTGTGGCTAGATTTACTAAACTCTCTTAGTGTCGCGATGCATTCATTCATCCCGATAATGGATACAGGGTTGTCAAACTCTCGGATGATCAATTGGATCAGTTTGTTTCCTTCGGGGTAAGGACAGGGTGTATTGACCAGAATAATGATAGTGTCTGTCCCATTCCTTTTCAAGCTGAGAAGTATACCCAGCGCATAGAGCTGGAGAAAATCATGGCGATGCATATATACCGCCGTCTTTACGAGCGTAAGCTAAAAACCGACGATAACGGGCGGACGCAGCATAAACCGTCGACGGCTTGATGATTATCCGGAGCTTGGGAACTTATTACAGCTATTGGGTGGGAATAAGCAAAAGTAAAATGAGAAGGGGACTGCTGTGTATATGCCTCTTATTGGAGGCTGCTCTAGTTATATCTTACAGTGTGGGACAGCAGAAAAGGGATGGTACGGAAGGACACAAAGGCTGTTAGATTATATGTTCTATATCGTTATATCTCTTTCACTGTGCTTACATCTTGTTGGGCGGGAAAGGTAACTTCATGTTGCAATTATTAAGATATGCAGGCCATACCAGCGTCCACTAAATCCATCGTGTACAAAGCCTCACCCATCAAAGCAGCCCCTCAAGAAACAAATCTTGATTCTCCTACCTAGTTCAGCGGTATGTTATGGAAGCTATATTCATAGCTCACAACACCACAATGGTTTGATGGTTTTCTATAGTTTAGAATACCGATGCAATCCTCAAAACAGTCCAAGACGTGCATTTGCCCCCCTTAGCCACAGCACGTAAGCAGCTCACAAGACGAGCCGCACGTAATTTGACAGGATTCTGATTTCCCTTCGACTCCCTTCGTGGTGGTGTTTTCTACCGTCTGGATAAGCTCCGGCTGCACAATTGCAGAATGAATACCATAGCTGTGGAAGCACTCGTTCATGGTCTTTGCAAGTTTCACAAACTCTGAGATGCGCATATCGGGAAGCCCAACGTGCACAGAAACGAGTGCCTTTTCCTGGTTTAGACGCCAGGCGTGTAGCTCGTGGACGGATGAGACTTCGGGTAACTAATTCATGTTCATGTTAATACAAGAATAAGTCTAGGCATGGGGTAGGGAGGGGTAGGGAGGGATGGAAACGTACTAATTCAAGGTCATGTTTCACGTCGCTCAGATCGATTCCCTTGGGGACACTGTTCAGCAGAATAAGGCCGGAGTTTCTCACTGGACGGAAGATTAGTCTGGAAAACAAGGTATTTTCATGGAAAAAGGGCAACACAAACCAAGGGGAATAGATGTTCCCATGATCATCAGGGCGATCGCCATACTAATAGCCGGGTCTGCGTAGTACCGGGAGGCAGAATGTGTGAGCCAGATGATCAACGCAGAGATTATGACCCCGACGTTATTGAAGGCATCTCCAAGGACGTGAATGAAAACACCGAGTAAGCCAAGGTCGTATCCCTTCTTCTGAGCTTGAAGGTTATTGTGTCTGTGGCCGGTATGGAAGGCATAAACCTGTGACGGATCCTCAGTACTCCTCTCGTATTCACGATTACCAAGCTCAGTTACCTCGTTGATGCCACTTTCAGCACTCGCGTCTAGGTTTCCAGCGGGAGTGCTATCATGGGAATGGTCGTGCTCTGAATGAATAAAACCCCATCAATTAGTCTCTGCGTATGTAAAAAAAAAAAAAAAAAAATAGGGGAGGACGAACCGTGAAGGAAAGACGCGCTCAGTATATTCAAGGCAAGCCCGACACAGCCAATAATAAGGACCAGCTTTGGGCTTTCAACCACTAAGCTACCTGTCAGCTTGCTTTCAAAGGTGCAGGCAGTTATGTATACCTTGTGGACTGATAAATCGCTCAATCGACTGTAGAAAAATACTGACTCCTAGGGCGAGAAGAAAGACACCATTGAAAAACGCCCCGAGGAGGCGAGCCCGCTGCCAGCCAAAGGAGAGGTCTTTTGGCGAATCCTTCTTTGAAGATATCTATCTTGCATTAGTAAATCTGCGTTGTTGAAACAATCGGACATCGTACCTTCACAGCAGCAAATGCCACGATAAATCCGATGATATCATTGAGCTGCATGCGTTAGCACAGCCGTCAAGCTCCGACGCGGAAAACCTTTTCGACTCACATAATGGAATGCGTCAGCCACAAGAGCGAGAGATTTTGTGTAGAATCCAACTAGTGACAGTAAGTGAGATTGTCTTTGTAGATCCAGGAGAGATAAAATACCGGAAATTTCAGCGAGGAAGAAGCAAAGTGAGATACCGATCACAAGCGAAAGACGCTGTAGCTGCGTCAGGTGTAAGACCATGGTGAGAGATATACCCGCTGCTTAGAACAATTGAAGCCGAGATGGAAAACTCAACAGATGGAAAAGAGAGAGGTGGGAAACTGGCACGAACAAGCATTTTAAACCCTTACAGGGAAAAACTTCCGTGTCAGAATGCCCAATATTAGTCGGATTGGGACCGGGATTATCGTCAGGCCACTATGGGACAGGCCATTCTAGTGGATTCTCCGCGAAGGCCCACGCATATGATTGACTTGTCATGTGTTGCCAAGCAGCTTTAGGCAAGTATGTGTCAGAAGAGAGCCGTCACTGAACTCAATTTGCCACCCTTGACTCTTGGGGTATAGCTTTTCATGTTCAATTGTAGGAGGAAATGCTTGCTTCCTATATACGACTGAAAGATTTCAAAGTGTCTCCAGACGGAACGTCTAGGAATGTTTCTGGTATAGGTCAATCAATATAAGTGTGCGCCGTTCTCATAATGAAAGGTGTTAAGCCTCGGCTGTCGATGTAACTCTCACTATATTGACCCGCAGTTCTGCACGGTGGCAGAATGCAAAGTACACCTGTGACCACTTGTACGCGGTCGACAAGATCTTTTCCGGGCCTCAGAAAGGCTTCATTTAATTTGCCGTATCAGTGTGTCATAAAAAGAGTTATGCTATGTTTTGCGTAGTCAGCGATGCAGCTGGGAGGGAATTAGGTAATCTGCGCTATCCTCTTTACGTCCGAAGCGAGGACTGATGGGTGAGTGACCGATAGAAAGGGTATTCTGCTGTGCAAGGAACGAAATCCGGCCAAGTATAGGAGGACTGAATAGAATATAGATCGAGATAGGGCTCAGAAGGCGATCTCTGACGTTCAGATAAAGTTAAGATCCAGGAACTCCCCACAGATCTGGAATGTCATCCATCCAATTGGACTGAGTCTGAGTCTGTCCCCCAAGGTCCTCACCCTCAAGGTCCTCACGCCAAGACACCAGACCCGCCATCGATATTTTAGTTGACTTTTGATAACACAGGACAGTAGCTTCAAGGAATGCTATAAAAGCGCTCATACGGCTTTCAGTTTTTTTTTTTTTTTTTTTTTTTCCCTGTGTCGTAGGAGCTGATTGATATATATTTGACATTTTATGAGCACCCTTAATTAATAATTAGCCCTAATGATTCAGAAATGGTATGCACTACATTCAGAGTCTACCTTCAAATATGGACCTGGTAGAATCGATTTAACTAGGTCTTCGATCCAGCCTGTGCCAAAAACAATTTTTCAACAACTCGCCATCGGGTCGTGAGCTCGAGGCTGGTGCATGGAATTACCCTCTTGTACAGGCTTCTTCGGTTGGGTTGTATAGGCAACTATATAGGATCTGTTTCTCTTGCCGACCCTCTCTGGCTCAAACTCTTACAACTTGCTAGGCATTTTCACTCCGAGAAGCATGCAAGGCAACGAGGGATAAAGGCTGTCGATACAATAGGGTTTATCTCTTCTATGCAACCTTCTCCATCTTCTCAAAGGAACATGAATAAACAATAGAAATGACACTCGACCGTCTCCCCGGCAGAACAGGCATTCCAAGCTATACTATTGCCCACAAATCTAAGTAAACACCCCCTTGGGATCCTCTACCTCACCATCCACAATCCCATCCTCACCCAAATACTCCTCCCTCGAGTACAGTTCCAAAGCATCCTTCCCCAAACTCATAATATTATTCCAGAGATTAAACGACGAGCTGAATGGAACCCGCCACTTCCACCAGATCGAATCTTCCGCCTCATCTACATCTGACTGTCCAGGAATAAGGGCCCCCCTGGTCGACCTCCCGCATAGTCTGCTCCCAGACAGATTTGCTTCTGTAATGATGCATGACTACAGTGATTTCACTAAGAGACCGTTCGTCGAGAACGGCAATCCATGAAATGGTCAGGCTGGTGCCCCGGGTATGTGCGAGATCGGTTACGCATTCGGTCGCGAAATGCCGCAGCTCGGCATCAGGGGCGCCTTCGAAGCCTGTGGTGAAGTCGGAGATGGGTGGGTTGCTGTGGAATTCATCCAGGGGGTCTTGGGATGGGTCGCGGACGAGGCTGAAGATGTTTATGGCTTCCTTTGGGGCCGCGCAGTCGGTCATTAGGCGGTTGATTACCTGTGGTTGGTTTTAGTGTGATATAACTTAGGTGGGGGCTGTTTTACAAACCCTTGCGGGTATTTGGGCGGTTACAGAAAAGAAGAATACCAGCCATGATTAGTGATGGGAGACGAAGCGGTGCAGGGATTGCCAGGGTATTCAGAAGGAATAGAGAGGCTGTTAGGTGTTAAAAGTGGGAGAGCCCGATAGAGGGGGCGGGAAGAATAGAGGAGAGGCTAAACCGGGGCGGGGACGCTATATTTATATCTGTCATGACTGAACCGGTAATCTGGCTCTCCAAACTAACATCAACTGGCTATTTGATCCAGCTATATAATAATAGTCTTGAGGATCACAACATTGGCCAGAAGAAAAAAAATGTAAATCAAAGTATAAATACCGGCAATTGCTCTGTATACTTACTAGGTTATATTATGTTAGTAGGGGGCCTTGGTAGAGCTATAGGGTATTATAATAAATAAAGAAGTAGTTTTTTATTTTAAAATTAATTATAAATAATTAATATTATATAAAGAGCTATATAATAATACCAATTAATATTTTTCATAAGAAATGATCTTATAACTAATATAAATCTCGATATCTTTATCCTCTTTTAGAGAATCGAAGCTTAAATAGAGCAGAGAACTATAATAAGTAGATATAACTCTTATAGTATAACTAGCCACTATACTACTACTAGCTTCTGTAGTAGATAGTAAAACAACACTGTGACTCTGTTTTAGAGATAAGGACCTGGCCACAGGCCGAGCAGATTGTAGAAGGGGGATACTAGCCTGAAATTAAGTAAGCAGGACGAGAGCTGCAGAGGCTAGGCTACTTACTAAATTAGATACAGTACAAGCACACTTTTCCGGAGAAGAATAGGTATTGGTAAACAGACCTTTCTTATCAAAAATAATTGTAGGACAAGTAATAGCAGCTAGGCTGTCTCACAGCGACGACAATTCCTTCGCATTGTCGTGGGAAGTCTCTCGCAACTGACCAAGCACTTTTGTGTGGCCCTTAGCGGTCTCTGCTAAGCCCTCCAGCATCTCGAGGGCAGCAATATATTCAGTGTTAAAGTAGTTCGTCACTTCTCGCCATTTCCAGCAAGTCATCTTTTCATCTGATAGAAATTATGCTGTCATCCTCCAGCGTACGCTTACATGCTGCATGTAGTCGCTGACGAGTCTCACTGTCGTCTCTTCGCGCCTTCTCCATTGCCTTACGCATGTTCCTTTTCTGTTCTTCGACCACATCATTCAGCTGCCTTCTCATATTGTCAAATGTCTGCATATGCTCGCTGATGGCGTGGGGTGCTGGGCCGGATCTCCAACTATGCCGGTAGCTTGTCCCATAGGTTCATCTCTGCGTCGGGTCGCTTGTTGTTTTCCATTTTATGGTTATTTAGTATTGAGATCGATGGCTGGCTATGCATGCAGAGTAAGGCGTCAGGCTCAGCTTGTATAGCTCTTTGATCACCTGCAAATTCAATGTTACCGGCGAAAAGCGGTCCAGCTCTCAAGTTTAGCTGGTGTATCGATGACAACCCCAAACCACTTGTTTATATATAGATTTGAACACCCTTCTACATGAGCCTGCAACGGATCTGTGCGTCTCTTCCTTAATAATAAAGTAGTCTTCTCGGATGTTCGCACCATGAGCCTATAACATATCTAGTTTGAGAGGGAATACAGCTACATAAATAAATACTGGGCAGTCACTATTCTCGTGAATTGAAATATAATGAAGAATAGTGCATAGTTAGTACTAGTAGTTGCTAGTATGAGTCTATTTACTTCACTTCCATACAATCATTTCCTTCCTTGATACAAAGAGGTGAATAATGAAGTGACTCTAATAGGGGGGTCGCTCCTTCTGTTTATGTAGTGAATCCATAAACTTTCTCTCCAGAGAGATTCGTTTCCCCTCTCTTCTTCTTCATCCTCGATCATCTCTCTGGCCCTGACCCTCAACTATAATCGTCCTGGGCAAAATAAAAATGTTAAAGAAGTCAATTTCAGTCAGTATGCCCCGAGCAAACCCCCGAAGAGGCCTAGGCGGCGAGATACCGCAGTAAGTTACCTAATCACAGCTACCTTACGACATTTAATTTGATTCTGACTCACCAGCCGTTCTCTGGACTGATATACTGGGAGCATAAACCTTCATTAGAACGGAAATTATTTACCCCAGTTCCTATCACGATGGATATTCCCACAAAAGCCCTCGCAAACCTACTGGGGCACGGTCTTCTTTCCGAGCTCCGAGAGATTAGAAGAGCCGTTGGTAACCTGACAAAAAGAGTTGCCCCTTACCGCGAAATCCGAAAGTCCATCCTGAACATTGGGGTATCAACAACGGGGTTGCCTCAAAGCCAGCGACGAAACGAGGCGGCTTATGGTGCAAACATCCGAGAAGACTACTTCCTCATTATGGAAGAGAAGGACAAATCCGTTGCCGATTCATGGAGAAGGGTGTTCAAAGACATATATGGGTTCCAGCTCTCGGGCTTGGAAGACCGTATACCAATCGCACCGGATAGGGTTATCGAAGCGTTCAACATGTATGGGAACTGCCGGATGCTTCACAGATGGAAAGGATATGATGAGGTCAAGCAAAAAGTATTGAACAAATGTCACGAGCTTCTCTTACCCTGGGTGACAAAGACAGAGCCCGATGATTACCTCCAGAATAAGTCACCCAGTTTTTTGCTTTATAGGCAAATCATCTCTCTGTATGAATCTGTTTAGCCGTGTTATCGTTAGATGAATAGCTTCGAAAATTATCCTTGCTAATATAAGCCCACTATTGGGAGGTAGAGATCCTAAATGCAGACCGAAGAACCGGTTCATTTAATCCTATTCCAAAGGGGTAGAATGTAAGAGTGACATTGGCCCCCTCCTCTAAACTAAACTAACACGAGAATGCCTTGATTCTATCTAACTGTTCTTGGCAGTCTGTTATAGAATAACCCTAGAGTAGAATTCGAGGCTGAGTCTTCATCATTGCCCAACACATCCACTTTCCGTGTACAGTGATTTGTTGGTCACGTTTGGCCCCTGAAGAAAAAGGCTGAGCGCACCTTAACTCCTTCTCACCATACCATAATTGTCCCGGTTGTGCCAAGCACCATCTGCCGTGGGGGCGGCCACAAATTTATGCAACAATACAATAAATAGCCGAGTAAACGTCAGATTTTAGGTTATTCCCGCCGCCCCCACAACCATAAGCTTATGCCACCGGAACTCTTGGGGAGCTTCTTCGCGAAACTGTTACAAGCAAAATGCAAGGTAATCTGAGTTAGTCGCTTTCTGCCGGTAGTAGAATGTATTCCGCGACTCTAGACGTTCACATGAGACATAGTTATACGTGTGACGGGTCTTCCGAACCCTTACTGGCCAGGCTATAGTTCATCAAAATCACTTACGCTCGAAGGTTGGACCAACATGTAACCCCGAAAACGAAAGAGCCTCCAGCAGGCATAATCTGGTTTGTCGGAAGATATGCACAGTCATGCATGATATATGCGGGGTGAGCTGAGCTGCATGCAAAGGTGTAGCGTCGACTACAGATTAGGGCTATGGGGCGGTAGTTTGGCCCCATCCGCCCCCACTGACCTGTCAGCAAGTGGACTTGCGATTGTAGTTGACATCTATTTTCATTGCAAAGGTCAATCTTTTGCTGTAGAAGAAAATCTATAAAGAGACCCAATCTGCCCCTTCAAAACCAAAACATCAACCAAGCTCAGCGATCACATCACTCCAACAGTCTCAAGACTACAATCACTCAGATATCAGTCACTCAAACAAAAAAACACCCCTTCCAACTCTATCTACTCTTTAACACCGCCAAAATGGTCAGCACCAAGCTCTACAACACTGTCATGGAGGGCAGCGACCCCGCCGTAAGGACCATATTCATTGATCGCCATGATTCATTGTGCTAATCATACCAAGGATGTTACTTACTCCCTGGACACAATCAAGGGTCTGCTGCAGGAGTTCAAGGCAATGGTATGTCAATCATATTTCCATACACAACCACAACCTTGAAGCATTAACTGACACATTGTATTCAGGACGGCGATAACGATGGTAAGCAGCCTGATACATTCAACAGCTTTCGACAAAAAGTTAGACATTAACCATACAATGCAGGATTGGTGGAGCTGGACGTGCTCAAGCAGGCGTACGGCGAACAAGGCGCCGCCGCATTCGAGGAGTTTTTCGACTCTACTCTCGACAAGCAGGTCTCCTTCACCGGTTAGTATCCCTGGATCACCTCACATGCCCTCTTATGATGCGCTTCTAACTCGAAACATAGAGTTCACCTCTGCCTTCATCTTCGTGCAGCGCGCTTCTGGCTACCCCAACAAGGCTTAATGGGGCTGTACAGCGCCATGAATGACGGATGGCATACATGACGCAAATCAGCGGTTATCCTATTGTTGTTTCTCTTCACCTTTGGCTTTGTTAGTTATGGTCTTCTAGCGAGTGGGATTTGGTAAGAAGCGAATTCGGTCATGGATAGAGTTATATCATAGCATCAAAATGACACAATAGCTTTGCTTTTTTTTGTCCATTTGGGGTTCTTTCATTGAGATTGATTGCCTGTACGCTACCCAGTAGCATTGTGGGTCTTCGTATGTCCTGAATTGAAAACGCCCGAGAGGGCAATGAAGCTATTTGGACAAGGTTCCTTTCTTTTTCTGTTACGTCTTCATTTTGGTCTAGATCAATCGCGAGTAATCAGGTCCAAAATCTGTTTAGGTGATTAAAGAATAGTAAGTTTTCCGTACTTGTTTGGGATTCATGTCTCACAGCCTCAGTCATATTGTATAGAAATAGCAATTTGTCGTTAATACTTAACATAGAAATAGACTCTCTATTTTAGAGATTACCTTGCATCTGAGCTTAATTCTGCGTTTCTATATATAAGTTTCAGGGGTACTATTTTTATATTACAGGGTTTAAAAAGCCTTTCTATAGATGGGCTAATAGTGGAGAAATATATTAATTGATAGATTTCAAATACACCAAGTAGACCTTGAAAACAGTGGAAATCACACAAAGGCCATTTCAAGCCGCAGCAGAAAAGGGGATAAGAAGCCAGGCGAGCTGGGGCTTGCCTTCATCTGAAACCAAGTTCTCAATGGTCCAAGTCTTCTTGAGACCTGGAACCTTGGTGAAGTCATAGCTCGAGTATTCGCCGAGACCACTACCGACTGTCGCTGGTGAGGATGAGATGGACGGCGTCGCCTTTGGCTCTGGGGTACTGTAGAGAGTCGCTTCCTTCGCTGTCGCAGTTTTCTGGGCCCAGAAAGGCAGACGCAAATGTAAATTTGACAGCTCAATCTTGTCATCTGAATCGGTTACTTCATCCCATTCTGTCGCGTAGTCACTGGAGAGGTTGATTGCCAGGACCTTGGGATTATTCCCATGATAAATGCTGTCGCTTGATTCATCCTTCGCCCATGCTAAGACTGCCTTTGATGCTTCTGCAGCGAGCAAACCTCCGCTGCTGAAACCGTATAGTGCACATGGATCATAATGTCTGTGAGCCTATGGTTCGTGCCGTCTATTTGCCCTGCATACCTAGCGGTCAAACATGTGAGGGGCAGCTGTTGTGGAACTAATATACAGAGTATGTTGATCGTACGAAACAGAATCAAATCCTGGCTGTTACACCGAGTACTCCACACCAGGCTATTCTGGTGCGTATCCATAGTAGAAGTTCCTGAGTGGTGAAGGGCTATCATATACTTTCGCACGGTGGACCATCTAACTGTTCGAGTTTTCCTAGTACATGACTCCCACGCCGATCTTTTCTAGATGCCTTGTTGACTTCGACGTGTGACAGCGCTCTCAGAAACGCCACAAAGAGACCCATACAGTCTTGATATGCAGTATGATACTTAGCTTGGCTTATACTTCGGGGGCTACATGTAACATACCGCTTTGGGTAAGTAACTTGATAGACCGTTTTCCTTAAGTCCACCTACGTCTTCACCTCAGGTACTCGATATCGTAGCATTTCCCTTGAAATTCATTCTCATCTGTTCTGTCCCAAAAGTATTCCCGAATTTCAAGTTGTATTATCCAACTAGTTCCTGTCAGAATTAACCACTACACCATACAAAAAGTGCGCTGTTTTTATTGCATATAATAATGGTATATCTGCGGGCCTCTTTTGACAGTCCCTAACTGATTCTAACCGGTCAGAAATTACTTGACGAATCTATTTTTTCTTTTTCTTTTTCTTTTTCATTTATAATAAATTGAACTCTAACTATATTTCAATGAATTGGGGAGGAAATACTATGTAGTTTTGGGGAGTTTGTTGGGGGTTAACAAATTAAGCAATTTCTAAGTGGTTTTCAACCATTTATAAACTAATTTTTAAGTATTTTCAAAGATCTCAAATGAAAAATCAGTCCTAAGTTAAACTGTAGGTTATAGAAAGGGTCAGATAGGCGCGTAATCAAAACATCTATGGTATGAACCATACGTTCTTCAGTCAGCCAAAGCAGCACTAGAACGGAAGGAGAGCGCCAAGACGGAGTTACCCGGCATTATCCGCTATATATGTGGGGCATTCCCCAATATCCACAGGTGTCATATCTGATTTATTGCACAGCGGAGCGAACCTAAGCGATTGGAAGCAAGCATTCCATATACTGTGTACAAACCTAGGGTGCTGCGCGAAATGATCGGGGCCCTGGTTGGTTCAAGTTACTGGGCTTCCATTAGTTGAGAATTGAAGACCGACATCCCGTCGCCGCTTCCTCTTATACATTTTGGAGAAATTCAACCTAACCTTATCCAGTAAATCCGATTTGATGAGTCTAACTTTAAATAGATTTCCCCATATTGATTTTTAGCCTTTAACATTAAAATCTAAAGTAAATTCTATCTTCTATATCTACCCCCGGAAATCAGTAGGTTTAGGGTGGGTCTGTCAGATCTACTGAGTAACCGTCTATCCGTCTAACTAGTAACAGGGAACCCGTACCACTCAATACCTGGATCCCCAACGCGAAGGCAAGCTGAAGCACCTACTTAAATGCAAAATTCTATGCTGGTTACTATCTCTTGCATAAGGGGTATAGAGAGGATGACACGAGGAGCCAGGATTAAATATACTATAATTTATAAAATATGTTGACCGCGGATTCCCAATTAGGCCTAGCGCCTGCGCGCGCCTTTGTTAGATAGACACGTAGCTAAGACCTCTCAAGTAAAATAATCAATGATTTCAACATCCATGACAGTTTAACAGAATATAGAGTAGCTAACAAAGAAGATGATGAAAGCGTATAACTATAGTACTAAGTGCTCAGTGTGTACTTGGAGTAGACTTATCTCTACTTCTTTTTGATCTATGCCCTGCCTCCAGAACAATATCCCAAAGAATGGGATGTCTTGACTCTTAGACCCTTGAAAGCACAAAACTATCTATGACATGATTCACAGTGGGGGGCTTTCGATATAGATGACACAGCTTTACTTGACAAAGAAAAAATTAGATCATTTCTGTAAGTGTATTTGGTGTACTTATATGCCTCTTAAATGTCTCTCTAGCACAAATTGGCCAATAGATTTAGATCACGCCCTCAAGGACTATTGTATCTCCGTAACCGGGCACATCCGCGTCATCATCTCGGCAGCCTAACCAATGCAGTAAGGTCATTATAAACTTGCTGGGTCGCATTATTCGAATAGGGGCCGTCTTCCCTGACCAACTACATCAACTGCGGTCTGCCAATACCGACGATAATAAGCCAAAGATGTCTGAGGTCGATTCCATCGCTATGGCAGTTAGGGGGAAAGAGATCACCGGGCTGGATATTTATCAGACGAGTGCAGAGAGCATCACGGCAGTTAGGGTAGAAGAGTTAGTTTCTGAAATGAACGCAGATCAACCCACCGGAGGCACAGACATGGCATATGGGAAGAAAGACACCCAGCATCTACGCTTTTGGAAGACCACATCATCCAAGGCTCCCATTATTATCTTCGTCCATGGCGGCAGTTGGCGATCAGGAACAAATTTGGATTTAATTGGCTCAGCCAAGGTTGATCATTTGATCAGCAAGGGCTATGCCTTTGCTACCGTCAACTACACACTCATCCCCTCCATCACTGTCGAAGAGCAGGTGCAGGAGGTGGCCGACTCGGTAGGCTACCTGGTCAAGAACGCAGCTAGACTTGACTTTGATCCCGACCGGGTCATTCTGATGGGGCACAGTTCCGGTGCGCACGTTGTTACCCTATTGGGGACTGATCCAAGTTACGTGGAGCGTGCAGGAATCAGTCTTGATATCATCCGCGGTGTTATCTCCCTGGATGGCTCGAATTACAACGCACTTGCTGAAATCACCGACAGTCCTGGGCCAGTCGCGGACAACACAATTTACGGACTCGGTAGCGATCCCGAGCGACTACACGCTATGTCACCTACTTATCATGCTCACGCGCCTAATGCCGGTGCTTTCCTGCTTCTCCATGTCCATAGACAAGGGGGTGTTCGCCAGGCAGTTGAACTAGTTGCGGCGCTGAAGGCTGCAGGTACGGATGCTGTTCTGCGCGTGTTCGAGGGTCAGGGGTTCGAAGGCCACGTCCAAATGCTTCTTCGGCTGGGTGACCCGGCCTATCCGGCGACTTTGGTTATGGATGAATGGCTCAGAACACACGTTCCAGTCGATTAGTATCTCAGCAAAGAGCGGTTGGCCGCGTACCCATTTGACTTACTCTTCTGCGGACGGTTTCAATGTGCTCAATACAACCGGTTGGGCTGGACGGGTTCGCTGGGATTGGCTCGCGTTTGAAGTTCTGTGTCTAAATATGCTTAAGCGACAGATATACACCTGAAAACACATACGTCTTGAGAATTTCAGTCCTTCCAAATGACGCTTCGAAGACTCGATCCTTGAGTTTGGGTCAATCAGCCCAATAATAGATCAAATGGGGACACGATCACGGATCTATGTCATATATTTCTCATCCCAGACTACCCTACTATCCATGCCTCTCCGCAGGTTTGGATCATGATGCATTGAGTACAGCTGAGCGGAGGGGATCTCTACCTTTCATAACTTGTGGATGTATGTACTTAAATGTCTTAAGTGGTGTCCAGTGGGTGGGGTATGGCTACTAAACTTTTCTTATATTTATATTAACCACTGGGTGCGCAGCCCAGTGTAGCTACGCAATAGTTATTGAGCAAGTTTCAAAGTATTCTCACCAACTCAGCTCACTAGTAGAGAAGGGTATAGTCAAGCCAATCTACAGGGACATCTAACCCCAATTTAGTATTAAAACGCAGACAGCGATGTATTTATCAAGGAGTTAGTCAAATCTCTACAATCATTGAGGGAAATTGTAGTTCTAATCTTTTGATAATAAATATAAGAAATGTATAGACCCAGCCTAGCTATAGAAGATATTAGCGTATTTTTCAGTATCCTAGGATAGCAGAATATTAGGATACTAGAAAGCTAAGAAATCCAGTACTAGCTTACGCTTTGGTTTCCTAGGATATTAAAAAGTCCAATACTACCTTAAATATCAATATACTAAATATATTAAAGTAGCTCTTAAGCATAAGCTTATGAAGATTTAACTCTATTTAATAGTTTTATATTCAAAGGATATTCATATGAGCTCAAGATTAAAAAGTACGAGATAAGTACTTTAAATTGATAGTATCTAATAGGAACAGTCTGTAATCAATCTTTTTAAGAGCTATTAATTCGGTAGCAAACTATTCAAGAGCTAGTCCTTATAATCAAGAATAAATATTATTGCGCAATATTTACTAGTACTCAGACTCAAGGTTTACTACATTATCTATAGAGTCAATAAATACACTAGGCATCCCGATAGTATACAAGGGAGCCTTAGGGTATTGAAGCCAGTTTTATTCCAACTATGAACTAGGAGATGGAGAATAAGGAAAGAGTAAATAATTCAGTTCTGGAATAGGGATGACGTCAGAAGTACGAGTATAAATCCAGCCATCTTAAACCCATCTCACCCTAAATCAGCACTCATAACAATGAAAAATGACCTCCACAGTATGTCCTGATATCACTAACTCCCTGATAAGAATACTATTAACAAAATCAAGCACACAGAATACTCCGTCCAAAACCCCCTAAACCGGGAACCACCCGTCAAAACCCTCGTCTCGAGGTAACACCACCAGAAACAGCTCTAAAGCCATCTTACTAACAAAACTTCAGCTTCTTCACCCCGGAAGGTATTTCCTACGACCGCAACCATGGCCCCATCCCACATCTCACCGCAGACACCCACACCGTCCGAATAGACGGCAACGTCCCCAGCCCACTCTGCCTATCCATCCATCAACTCCAAACCGAGTTCTCCCAGCACGAAGTCATCTGCGCTCTAGAATGCGCGGGGAACCGGCGGCATGCCATGCGCACACTGCTCAAAGAAGTCCAGGGGATCGACTGGGGCGATGCAGCTGTGATGAATTGTAAATGGAAGGGCCCGAGATTGAGGGACGTTCTACTCCGAGCTGGTGTGACCTCGAACCTGAGTCAAGGCTTATATGTAGCGTTTTCATGCTACCAGGTACAATGTCAGGAGGATGATTGGTTCGGTAGTAGTGTGAAGTTGAAGAGATGTCTGGATGAGGATATGGATGTTATTCTTGCTTTGGAGGTGAGCTACTTCATTTCTTGCGGACACCTTTCTTTATAGGGCTGATAGACGACAGATGAACGGTTCGCCGCTTACACCGAACCACGGTTACCCAGTTCGAGTGGTCCTCCCAGGTGTTGCGGGTGCCCGGTGGGTCAAGTGGCTCGATCGTATCACTGTGCAAGACCATGAATCGTCAAATTTCTACCAGCAGCGCGATTACAAGGTTCTGCCGCCGGATGCGGTCGATAGTGCTTCCGCTGAGCCCTATTGGGACCGCACGCCTGCTATGTGTGATATGCCTATTAATTCGGTTGTAGCTGTGCCGGAGGATGGGGAAACTGTTCGTCTTTCGGAATCGGGTACTGTTGAGGTGAAAGGGTATGCAGTGCCGCATGGCGCGGATGGCCCGGTTACAGGTGTGCAGGTTTCTGCGGATGGTGGGCAGACATGGGTGGATGCTGTGATCGAGGGTTCCTCCCTTGTGAGGAAATGGTGTTGGGTTTTATGGAGGGCGAGGGTCAGTTTTGAGAGAGGAACTGGAAGGGAGATTCTGAGTCGCGCGTTTGATAGGGGTGGAAATGTGCAGCAGGAGCATTCGCAGTGGAATCTGAGGGGTGTGGGATATAATGGATATGGAAGGGCAAGTGATCTTATCATTGTTTAGCGGGTTAGTTATCATACATAGGTGGCATCATGGTGCTTGGTGATCATTCGAGCTTAAAATTGTCTCATAATTGTAACTGGGCATGTTTCGCAGATATCATAATATTGACACTGGTCTATACAACATTATACATACATAACTAATCAGGGAAGCACGATGTACTTCTCCAAGTGCTTAGGGATAGCGGTTCTCAGACCCTTGCTCTGGAGCCAGGTGTTCGAGAACAGACGGTCCGCGTAGCGGTAAGCGCCATCGCACAGAATGGTGACGATTGTCTTACCCTTACCGAGTTTTTCGGCAACTTCCTTAGCAGCAACAACATTGAGTGCAGAGCTAGCTCCAAGATAGAGACCTTCCTCATCGAGGCAGCGGTAGACCATCTCAATCGACTTCTCATCGCTAATGTTCAGAGACCCATCCAAAAGATCAATGTCGGGCTGAAGGTTGTCCGTGACGCGGCCCTGGCCAATACCCTCCGTGATGCTGCTTCCCGAGCGTTCGGTCAGGTTTCCACCGCTCTGGATGTAGCTGTGCAGGACGCTGCCTGGGGGGTCGGCAAGGAAGCACTTCACCCGGCCGTCAGAAGCGGTCTTCAAATAGCGTGTAATTCCGGCCAGTGTTCCTCCCGTTCCAGTAGCACAAGTGAAAGCATCGACCTGTCCGCCAGTCTGGGCCCAGATTTCCGGCCCGGTCATCTCAATGTGAGCCTGACGATTGGCGGTGTTGTCGAACTGGTTCGTCCATACGGCATTATCCAGGGATTCGGCATGTCTCCTTGCCTGGTGGTTGTAGTTCTGCGGGTTATCGAAGGCGACGGCCGGTACAGGGTAGACCTCCGCACCCAACAGCCGCAGCAGGTCAATCTTACCCTGGGACTGCGTATTGGGCATGTAGATGACAAGCTTGTAGCCCTTTGACCGACACACATGCGCCAAACCAATTCCAGTGTTACCAGCCGTTCCCTCAACCACAGTACCACCAGGCTTCAATAGTCCCTTCTCCTCGGCATCCTTGACGACGAACAATGCTGCACGGTCCTTCACACTGCCTCCGGGGTTCTGGAATTCGGCTTTACCGAGGATGTTGCAACCAGTCTCTTCCGAAAGACGCTTCAATCGGATAAGTGGTGTGTTTCCAATTGCTTAATGACAAACTGTCAGAAGCCATTGCTCGCGTAGCTAACTTTTATGTTCGTCTTCTTAGCGTACCTTCTGTAAGACCGTTAACGTAGCCCTGAGCTTGCGACACTCGGACGCCATAGGCGGTCGATCCTTCTGCTGCGCGGAGCGCAGTGGTGCCGAAGCGCCGAATACTTTGTCGGAACATTATTTCAAAAGGCTTCGAAAGGCTAGCACAGCTACTCCCAAACGCCGTCTACTATGCAAGAGACAATTGACGGAGGAAGACCATTCCATTCCCCGGATTCCCAAATGCCGATGGTCGGCGTTAGTCAGCGATAGATAGTCACGTGGGCGATGGCGTGATAGCTTGGACGAAAAGGACCCTCATTTCTATACTGCACATAACGTTGACTAGATAATACTTGGTATTAATTCAGTTGATCGAGTGACACTCCGTTAACCCGTATATAATTCATTGAATAGATAGTGACAATTGATATAGATTTTGCCTATAAACCCCACTGTACTGCCTTTGAAGGTCAGACATGACATAATATGCTGCCAACCCTAACCCTTATCTTAGTCTTTCCCGTTTTGGGCTGTTTGTTTATTCTGCACCCCGTGACTGCGGGTTATCGTCCGCAATGTTTTGGCGATAACTCAACCAGTCGGCAATAATCATCCCACCTTGATCCAGCGACTACAGGCGCGCCATTCAACGAGTTCCGGTCTCCGAATCTAACCTATGACACGAATTTGAGATGTTATCTGTCTGACTTATGCGACAACTCCTTGCTTGACCGACACATTTCGACTCAAACCTCTACCCCTCCACGCCCAGACACCATGCCTGGTCGATCTTCCGCCCGTTCGACCTCTGCGACGACATCGCGTAGACCGTCCGCCCAACCATCAATATCAGGCGGGCGCGCGGGCTCTGTAACTCCTTCCGTCGCCATCCCGGAGGAACCCCCTTTGCCCGAGGCTTTTCCCAATTTGCGCCGGGATATCTGTTCACTCTTCGCTGATGCGCAACGCTCGACAACCGGACACCGAAAACTCGTCGTACGACTGAGAAAGCTCCAGGAATCTTGCTGCGGGATATCACAGAAGAACACTAAGAAGAATGGTAAGGAGGTTCAAGAGGAGACTTTGATCCCAGGTGAAGAGACACTCCCCGAAACGGAATTTAATGTGGAGATTGGTCGGTGCATGCTACGAATTTTGCCCATAAAAAAGTCAGAACCCGTTGGCGACCGTGTATTGCGCTTTATTGGCACTTTCTTGACCCATGCATCCGAAAAGGATGCCGAAATTTTCGCTACCGATGATGATGAAGTCAGCGCCGAAACGCCCACGTCCCGTTTGGCCTCCAGCCTGGTTGCCAAAATCATTCCGTTACTAGCTGCTAAAGATAGGACTGTTCGTTTCCGTGCGACACAAATAACTGCGCACATTGTGAACTCTCTCGAAACGATTGACGACGACCTGTACCATACTATCCGGCAGGGCCTCCTAAAGCGGATCAGAGATAAAGAACCATCAGTGAGAGTGCAAGCTGTGATGGGTCTTGGCCGCTTGGCAGGCAACGAGGATGAAGATGATGAGGATAGTGCAGTCTTGGTCGAGAAGCTTGTTGACATCATGCAGAATGATACAAGCGCAGAGGTACGGAAAACTTTACTCCTCAACCTACCTCTTCTCCGCAAAACGCTTCCATACCTTCTTGAACGAGCTCGCGATCTTGACGCTGCCACACGGCGAGCATTATATGCGCGTTTACTCCCTACTCTAGGTGACTTCCGACATTTATCACTATCAATGAGAGAAAAGTTGCTCCGTTGGGGTCTAAGAGATCGTGACGAAAGTGTTAGGAAGGCTACCGGGAAGCTCTTTTACGATCGGTGGATTGAGGATGTTGCTAGTACGGATAACGACGAGGAAGGCCCAGCAAATCAACGCTCTCCGCCAAACATACCAGCCCTCATGGAGCTGCTCGAGAGAATCGATGTGCTGAACTCTGGCATTGAAACCGGTATAGCTCATGAAGCCATGCGTAGCTTCTGGGAAGGTCGCCCTGATTATCGGGAAGCGGTCATCTTCGATGAGGAGTTCTGGGAGTCCTTGACGGCTGAATCAGCTTTCCTCCTTCGCTCATTCAACGACTTCTGTCGTGTGGAGCACGACGGAAAGTTCGACAACTTAGCTGACGAAAAAATGCCTGAAGTGACTGCCCTTGCCTACTTCTTAAACAAATACATGACCGACCTATTGCAGCGGAAGAAGACGGCCAAGGAAGCCGGTACGGCCAACGACGATGACTCCGTCGAACATGAGTTTGTTGTTGAACAGCTGTTGCATATTGCCATGACCCTGGACTACAGTGACGAAGTTGGCCGACGCAAGATGTTCTCATTACTACGCGAATCCTTGGCAGTTCCAGAGCTGCCTGAGGAATGTACTAAACTCGCCATCGAGACACTGCGATTTGTTTGTGGGCCAAACGCTGCTGCCGAGAACGAGTTCTGTAGTGTTGTTCTGGAGGCCATTGCCGAAGTTCACGATACCATTGCCACTGAAGATAGCTTCGTATCGGCCAGATCAGAGATCAGTGAATCCTCTAGTCGTCAGCGATCTGAAACTCCCGAAGCAAAGCCTTTCAACAAAGAAGAGGCTAAAGCAAAGGTTCTCAAAGAGATCATGGTCAACATGAAATGTCTTCACATTGCACTTTGTATGTTGCAAAATGTGGAGGGCAATCTGCAAGCAAACATGAATTTGGTTACGATGCTGAATAACCTGGTCGTTCCTGCGGTCCGTAGTCATGAGGCGCCAATTAGAGAAAGAGGTCTTGAGTGCCTCGGGCTTTGCTGCTTGCTTGACAAGGTTGGTCTCTATCCCTCTATACCTCTGATGTATGCTAACAGTCCTCCCCCCCACCAGACCTTGGCCGAAGAGAACATGACACTTTTTATCCATTGCTACAGCAAAGGCCACGAGGCTTTGCAGACGACGGCCTTACACATCCTTTGCGACATGCTGACGACTCATCCATCGTTGCTCGCGCCTGTTACCCAGCCTGACGGAGAAACTGTGACGCCGCCGGTGTTCCAGAAGCCGTTGCTGAAAGTCTTTGCTAGGGCACTCAAGTCGAGCTCTCCGAACAGTGTCCAAGCAACGGCCGCCACTGCTCTTTCCAAGCTGTTGCTCACTAATACCTTTACTCCCTCTGGGGCTAATGTCCCTCCAGCTATCCAAGAGTACAACCAAACATCCGTCGAGACCCTCTTGCAGTCACTTGTGGTTACATTCTTCCACCCCCGTACTCGCGAAAATCCCGCACTCCGGCAGACTTTAGCCTACTTCCTCCCTGTATACTGCCACTCTAAGCTTTCAAATACCGAACATATGCGCAGGGTTTCCGTACCGATTGTCCGGGCAGTCCTCAATGCGGCAGAGGAGCACTTTTCACTTGAAGCGGAAGAGGACAGTGATGGCGACATCGATGAGAGTGTTGGACAGCGGGAATTGAAGGCGCTGATGAGTGGTGTTTTGGGTATGCTCGCGGAGTGGACTGACGAACGGCGAGTCGTTGGGCTGGGCGGAGAAAAGATCCTCGCAGGTGGCGCAGCCAGTTCCAACGTCTGTGGCTGGGTTCATCTTGCGTTGGTGAAGGACATCCTGGAGCGTGTGCTGGGGATCAGCGAAGGTCCCAACCGCTGCTCTAAAGAAGAGAAGAAGCTCCTCTTCTCTCTACTTAGCAAGCTTTACATCGCTCCTCCCTCTGTGCCCTCAAGGGCTGGTTCTCGCAATCCGGAGGGCGAAGACCCAGTCGCCCCGAGTGCTCGGAGTAACCAAAGCGAAGTTAGCCCCGAGAATGCTGCGCTTGCGCAAGAGGTGAAAGAGCTTCTGGACGAAACAATCGAAGAAGGTTTGGCTTCTGAAGCGGCTAGTAGGAATGCCCTTGTCAAGGTCAAAAACTCGGTCCTTAAGCTCCTGGCAACGGCTCAAGGCCGCCCGAGCAGCTCCCGAGCTCGCGAGGGAACTGAGGAGGGAGACAGTGATATGCTCAGTCTTCGTTCCGGCCGGTCCGGTAGCGTCCGTCCCTCCATCGAGCCTGGTGCTTATCGTCGCGGGGTGTCTATCGAACCCAGCATTATGGAGGAAGACGAGAACGAGGATAGCAGGACGACGATCAAGTCTGAAGCACATGATTACTAGAAGTTGCCTAATGCGTTCCTTTTCTGGGTTGGCGTTGGCTGATGGGTCATGTTGGGATATGGTCTCGGGACGATATACGGACTTGTTACAATGTATTTAATTCATGTTTATACATTTCGAGGCTTATTTGTAAATGGTTTCTATTATTTCGACGCAAGATACTTGAAACGCCAGATGTTAGTTAATAATGATCGTCGAAACTTGAATTCTGCCTTTAATATTTCATAAAACATGTAGTCCAAGGAATTTTTATATCGTGAACACGATGTGTTGAAGCTGTCGTGGCGGTTTATAATCGAGTCACGTACTTGGTTAATCTATGTGACAAATACTGAGGAAGGGGATGCTAAAAAGTTCTTCTAAAATATATTCCGAGGCACCTTACCTAGGGATATTCTTAAAATCACCTCAAGCCATTGACAAGACGGTCGACTGAGGCTGTATATATTTATATAATGTCAAGAGTGCTATTGTGTAGAAAGTGACATACCGAGGTAATGTACAGAGAGCATAGCCTCCAATTTTGAGTTAACCTCTTGGAACTAGGCAAATATAACATTACGTGTTGCTGAGGCTATCCTATCCGCTGCCCTGTTTCATCTTCGCATGACTGATGGAGATTGGCATTAGTCATTGTTCACTTCCGCGATCAAGTACATCAGGTTAAAATATCGAAGGATTGTGAGTCAATTGCCAGTATAAAGATAGAGAAAGACGTAACAGGAGAGTGTTCAAACTTGTAAGGAGAACAAGCTGACATATATAGTCAGTCCCTCTGGTAGGTCTAGTTTAAGGACGGATGGGCACGTGCACGGGGAAAAGGAATTGGTGGTCAAGGCCCAGGCAGATGTACTGTTTGGAGGCTGGAGCCTGTACGAGAGCTGCGGCCAGGTCACTAGTGGTGGGTTAGCTTGCGTTTATTATTGATGGCCGACCGTTATTGTCATGGCCTGATCGTGGGTGATACGGACCAGTCAGCCATCTTCCTTACTCACCTGTTGTTGGGAGATTAAAAAAAAAAAAAAAAATGTCTCACTTTTGCTATTTGATTCACCTGGGTTTTGAACTTCATAGAAAATTGTATTTATTCATTTCCTATGACTGGAGGAATAGTAATATGGGTAATCTAGTTATACCTCTCCGTGACATATTCTGATTCTTGCTCCTTTTTTAATATCTATATCCTTTTGGTAATAAACATTCCAGAATAAATGATTCTCTGGGCTCAGTACCATTGAAAATTACGCACTAAGTGTATCACGTACCGTTTTCCTCGGATGCGAGACTGGGCGGATGAAGGATCCATTAATTCATGGACCGGGATTGGAAGAAAGATAACCAGCTCTTGGTCAGACCAGGAACTTGATACTAGTTATTTAGTACCTTGGTAGTATTGTAGGAAGGGGGAGGTACGGTATTTACGGGGAGAAATCAATCTCCTAGGGCATTTTATAGGTGCATCCGGCTTGGGGAACGTCAATGTGATACCGCGGACAGAAGTACCTTACAGTAGGGCGGTTAATGAAACAGACATGGATAGAGTCATGGTCTATACTACTAAAATACCATCCCCTATTTTCTTACGACCCCAACCATTAATTAACAATGCCATCTACGTTTATTCGTATGCCTAGGGGTAGATTAACTGCGGTGGACAGGGCACCAGTCACAAATGATTATGGCACAACGCATAGATCACTGTCTATATGAGAACCACTACCACTATAAGGATATAAATATCGAGATATGAGAATTGAATTCCGAGAATAGAAGCGCAGCTTCATAGCCACGGTGCTCAGGCGGGAGGGTTGATGGCTCGGGGTTAAACGTGAGGTTCTCCCGGTACGCCGTGGACTCAAAATACAAACCAATGGACACTAGCGATTAACTTTCTTGTAAATCAGTAGTAAATTCAAATCAACCCAAGAGGAAAAAGAAAAGATGTGAGAGACAGAACAGCACTTCACTTCCCTCATCGCATGTAGAAAATCAATTCTAGCAGATTAAAATATATGTAGAGATTATCATATAAAATATCGTCTAGATTTATAGATTTATTGATAGTCCTTTTGAAATCAACCCCGTGATTGAATTTTTTTTTTTTTTTTTTCATTTCTCTTTCTTGTTCAATTTTTTTTTTCTTTCGAATTTCCCCTCAAACCCCCGAAACTTTTCTTTTTAATCTGGACGCTCCACCATCACTCACTCACACTCACTCCTCTCTTGCGGATTCCCATCTTGGACTGGGCAACAATTCTTCCTGACTCTTCTTTCTTCCCTCCCTCTCTCCCTCCTCCTTCTCCTCCCTCTCCCTTTCACCTTCCCTCCCCCCCGTGATTCTTTTCCAATTCACGACGGTCTTGATTCGGTCGTGAAACCCCGTGTCTCCGCTTCTTCGAGACACTGTTTTTCCGTCCCGGTTGACCCTTTTCCCTTTTGGCGCGAGAAGAGCAAGCCCCCCCCCCCGTGATACTCAACCAACTGTAATCAATCAATCAATCTTCAGCGATGGCATCCGTTTCAGCTCCCACCCCTAAGCTGGATCGCTATATTGTCATCCATGTCGCAACCACCTGCGATGAACATGGCGTCTACGTCACCAAAGATTCGGCAGAGGTGATCGAATTGGGGTGGATTTTGTTGGATGCCAAAACCTGCGAGGAGGTACGTTCGTTGGTGTTGGAGTTTAATAATCCCTTTTTGAATCCAATTCAGCCTTTCCCCTCCTGATGCGTTTCATTTCCTCTCCCCTCCCGTCTCTGGGCTTGGACCACCACCTCGGAAATTGATCCCCTCCGTGACAGCTGGCTAACATGTGGTTTGATTCGTTTAGTTGCACCGTGAAAGTGTGCTCGTCAAGCCCGTCAACACCCCCATCACGCCGCTTTGCAGTAAGTGCACACACACACACACCTAACCAATCGTCATCCCGCCCAATGCCTAGCCATTCCCTCCCTGCCACAACCTTTTCCCTACACCCCGGATGTATCGGTCTGCTGGTTCAATGGCTGACGGTCTCCGAAAGCGAGCCTGACAACTCTGACATGGGAGCACGTCCGCTCGGCAGGTACTTTCCGCGATGCCATCGCCCGTTTCGACGAATTCGCCAAGGAACACCTTATCAACAAAAACTTGGAGTTTGCTTTCGTGACGTTGGATTCGTGGGACCTTCGTGTACAGCTCCCTCGTGAAGCCCGAGACAAGGCCGTCGTTCTTCCCGCATATCTCCAGCATTCCCGGACCTTCGATCTGCGAACCGAGTATCAGAGATGGCAGACTCATCACCCCGAGTCTCTACCCTTCGGTCCCAGTTCCCTCTCCAACATCTGTGCCGCCCTCGAAGTTGAACCCGTTCAAACCTCCGCCCCCATCAAACACAACCTCCCCTTCCACCTGCAGGCGCTGGCCCCCGCATCACCACGACGGGCCATGGAGGAAGCCATTACGCTGGCTCGCGTCCTCCGCGGCTTGATTCGCAAGTCTCAGCCCCCTCACGAGCACCCCGAGATCTTGACCCGCCCCATGGATGCGAGAGCAGACGTTCGTGCCTTCCTGGCCGAACGGAGCAAGGTGCTGCATTTGAGCGGTCTTCCCCACGATACCACCCAGTCTGAGCTCGAAAGCTGGTTTACACAGTTCGGCGGCCGTCCGATCGCCTTCTGGACCCTCCGGACTCCGGATCAGCACAAGCCTACCGGCACTGGCTTTGCGGTCTTCTCGTCTCACGAAGAGGTATGGAATAACTTCACGCACCCCCTACAGGAGTCCTGTTATGGCGACTAACCCGCTCCGCAGGCTGCAGAAAGTCTCTGCATGAACGGTCGTGCACTGAATGAGAAGGCCATTGAGGTCTCACCTTCCTCTAGCCGTGTGCTCGATCGTGCCGCAGAGATTCTCACCCCATTCCCTCCCTCGAAGAACCGCCCTCGTCCCGGCGACTGGACCTGCCCCTCCTGTGGATTCTCCAACTTCCAGCGCCGTACCGCTTGTTTCCGTTGCTCGTTCCCTGCCATGGCCGCTGCTCCGGATCCGATGGGTTATGGGGGTTTCGGCTACGGCCCGCCCTCCATGATGCCACCTCACATGGGTCACGGTCACGGTCACGGTATGGGCCATTCTCGTGGCATGGGCGGCAACGGTGGTGTGGTTCCCTTCCGTGCGGGTGACTGGAAGTGCGGTTCGGAGGGTTGTGGCTACCATAACTTCGCTAAGAACATCAACTGTCTGCGTTGTGGTGCACCCCGCTCGGGAGCCGCCGTGGTTGCGGACTCCGCTTTCCCATCGCCCATGGACCCTCCTTCGGGCTTTGGGATGGGCCCTAACTCCATGGCGAGCACCCCGGCACCCGCCCCCTTTACCTCCACCGCAGGTGGCTTTGGTGGATTCACCCAGCAGTTTGGAGCGCCCCCGAACAACTACGCTCTCCCCTCGGCGCTGGGCAGTGGCCCTGGAGGATACCCCCCTATGGGTCAGATGAACGCCGGCTACGGTTCTAGCAATACCTCTCACACCGCCGCTTCTTTCGCCAACCCAGCTACACAGGCCGCTTTCACCGGAGCTGACCACGCCACCTCCACCAGCGCTTCGAACGGCGCTTTTTATGGGGCGGATGGGTCCAACGATCCCTTTGCCTTCCTGTCCACCGGCTTGGGCGGCCTGTCGGTCGGTGACGACGGTCACTCCCGCCGCAACGGTACTGGTGCTAGCAAGTCTCCTGCTTAAAGTCACCGCGGTGAATCTTTAAGGCGGGGTGGTTGTACTATTTCCATTCTTCTGTGACGGAAACCCCATTTTATGTTTGTGAATATGGTCATCTAGATTGTCGGTATATGTGACGGTTGAATCTCGTTGATGCGCGTTTGTATAGGGAATTCAGCAGTTCTGGTGCATTCGGTTGGGAGGAGCAGGCCGGTAGCGTGTCGTCGTTTCATCGGGTTGGATCCTTTATCTTTTCTTATTTTGTCTCATCTCTCACAGCCTTTACGTTGACCCTTTTCGGTATGTTTTACTATTGCGTCTTTGAAGCGATGTTTAAGGGTATAGAAGACCATCCTGGCAGATGGGCCCGGGTGGTTTCGTACATCCATTCGCGAGTCACTGGGGCTTCTCGTTCTTATTTTCCTTCGATCGGCATGAGCTTCGCACTTTTCTTCGCTTTCGTCGTTGTGCATCTGATGAAAGGCATCGCTTGTTTCGATCGCAGTGCGACCAGACGTGGAGGCTCTATTATGGCATTGCATTCTAGATATTTGGTCATCTTATTTTTTTTTTTTTTTCCTGCTTGTCTTGTTTTTATTTTATTTTATTTTTTCCCAGTTCATCTCTGCGCTCTTCGGCAACAGGAATCATTGGAGAATCACGGTATTGATCACGGATGGGATACACTGGAACGGACTCTGTTGGGGGTGTTGGGGATATTCCTTTTGAAGCCATGAAAATTTCAGCCGACGGCGGATTTCAGATATGCGAGGCAACGGGTTGGGAACTGTGAGTGCAACAGGGTTGTTCTGAATGTCCATAATTCATTTTTGTGTTTTTTGATCATTTCTTACTTGCCTTTACCATCTGTCTTCTATCGGTATCTATGTTCTTTTTTGCTGTTTTTCTTTTTTCACTGCAAGAAAAAGTCGATGAGTCATCATTCTGGATCTACGCAGTACAGACTTAGAGACAGTACATTGTCTGCCATTTTGTATAGGGATTGATGGGGCATTGTGAGCGAGAGCGTGGCGTTGGGGTAGACCAGGACGCATTGGTTATTATCTGCTGTCTACCTTATTTTCTACTATAATGTCACATCATGTATGATCCAGCCTTGATCTCGAGTGAAAGTATCAAAAGAACTTTAGGCAGCTCTCCGTCAAATGACACAATTACTTATATTACTATCATTGGCTTCTATTCTGCGGAAATACATATTTTTCTGTAGTTACTAGTTAGTATATATATTTCTTCTCATAATGGGTAACACGTTAACCACGTTTTTGTTAGGGAATAGTGATTATTAGAAATTGCAGACAATGTGCTGTATGGAAAAGAAAACAATATTGTCAGATCCATGAAACTGGTACAAGCTACTATATCCCAAGTGTGTCAGTCAAGTATAGAGACTTTGATGTGGGTGGTCAACCGGAAGTGGGTAACCGCGCGCCTAGGGCGCTAGAGGGGGAGCTCTGGAGGTCTGGAGGCAACCGCGGGACTCGCGTCCACCTCCATCTGTCATCGCTCAGGACGGCTCCCCATCCCAGCATTCTACGACCTGAACCCCACGAATTGCCCTTGTCAATAAATATCTCGTCCTCATACCATTTGGTTTTGCTTCTCTGCTTTTTCTTCGGTTTTCACAGTTTTCCTGTCGCCCATAATGTCCGGATATGACCGAGCTCTTTCAGGTAAGATAGCTTAGGACCTTAGTTCCATGTGCTTTTCAGTGGGGGTGATCAACTGAATCTAACCAACCTGCAGTATTCAGGTATGAAAACCGATTTTTGCAGCATTCTGTACAGCTCTTTGACTCGTTTCCAGCCCTGATGGGCACGTCTTCCAGGTGGAGTATGCCATGGAAGCTGTTAAGAGAGGTACGTCACCGCCAACCAGGTCGGCCACATCCTCCTTTCTGACCACCACCGTTCTTTTCATCTAGGAACCTGCGCCGTCGGAGTAAAAGGTAAAGATGTTGTCGTGCTGGGCTGCGAGAAGCGCTCCGCCTTGAAGCTCCAAGATACCCGCATCACACCATCGAAGATCGCCGTGCTGGACAATCATGCCGTCCTCGCTTTCGCTGGATTGAACGCCGATGCTCGTATCCTCATCGATAAGGCTAGACTAGAGGCCCAGTCCCACCGCTTGACCGTTGAAGACCCCGTCACCATCGAATACATCACCAAATATATCGCCGGTGTGCAGCAGCGGTACACGCAAAGCGGAGGTGTTCGGCCCTTCGGTATTAGTACCCTGGTTGTGGGATTCGATCCGAATGATGAGGTGCCCAGATTATATCAGACTGAACCTTCGGGTATCTATTCTGCTTGGTAGGTGGCATTGGTGGTTGGTTCTGGAATGCAAGAAGAATGGCTAATGGGTGTGCGGTGATATAGGAAAGCCAACGCTATCGGCCGTTCTAGCAAGACCGTTCGGGAATTCCTCGAGCGCAATCACCAGGAAGATATGGACCGTGAGCAGACGATTCAGCTTACCATCAAGTCGTTGTTGGAGGTCGTGCAGACCGGCGCCAAGAACATCGAGGTGGCTATCATGTCGCCCGGGCAGACGCTTGAGATGCTGCCTGAAGATCAGATCGAGGCCTACGTTAAGAGTATAGAAACCGAGAAGCAAGAGGAGGCTGCGAAGAAGAAGACGGCCCGGACCAGCACCACGACGGCGGCCATCCTAACAAGAGGTGGTGGAGAGTCCAGCGACGCCTAGGAGTAGGCTGGTTTAGTGAATTTAGAGCTACATGCCTCTTGTTGACGTCCTACACGTTTTTCCCTTTATAATATCGGAGATCTTGCCGAAGCGACTTTACGACAATAAATAACTCTTTCCCCGTCGTTTATACACAGACCCCACTGGGTCTTCTCTCTAGGAATATTGTTGTCTGAAGATTTGTAGCCTGACTGTCGGCAGGAAGTAGGAAGCATAATATCGTAATCGTCGTAATCCACAGTCGGTCGCCTCCACTTATCCCAGACGATCCTCGGCATCCCTGACGTTGAAGATCGACCGCTCCTGGTGGCCCCGTACTCGGTCATCCTTGAGCATTCTTTCCCGCATATCAGTACCCAATCCTGGAAAATTGAAAAGGGGAAGTACCTGTTGTCGATACGAGCATCCTCACCCTCTACCTGCAACGCAGGCTTAGGTGTGACGGCCTCTAGCACAAAGTGGTTATCGCAGTGCGGGCAGTACTCGTCACTATCAAAAATTTCCCCTTAGCCATATATTGTATGCTTGCACCGCGAAGGGGTGACCCACCTCTCTTCAAATTCTGTCGAGTCCTTCCGGAAACACTTCTTGCACTTTTTACAGGCGAAAACCTGTACCAAATCTCCCTTAGAATGTCTATCGGCTTGAGAGGGGACAAGAATGGTGTGGTACCATTTCGGTGTTCTTCATGAGGGGGTGGGATTCTTGTTCATGATGACATTCGGCGCAATCAAACCACTTCCGACCTGGATTCCGTATGAGTAGGACGATGGCTGTGGTGAATTTGTAATAGACTCACAGCATGCCGAACGAATGGCCACTTGGGCATTGAGGATGTGTTTACTGCGCGGGAGGGAAGGTGTCAGTTGACCGGTTGATGGATTTGCATTATATAAATTTTTTTTTTTTTTTTTTTTGCTTTTCTCTTTCTCTCTCTTTCTTTTTTATGGTGGCTTGACGAGGGAGACAGGATCGTCGACGTACCACATGATGAAGAAGAGGGATTTGAGTCAGGGGATGAGGGTCTACGTGGGTGGTGGAGGCTCAAGTGGTTTAAGTGAGGAAAATCGAAGGAAGAGAGGGTCGTCTATATCGCGATCCTTTAACGGGAGCAATTAAATCACAATTATTGGGGAGGGATTAAATTAAAATTATTTGGCAGGGCGGAAACTAAAAATAAAGGCATGACTGACGGTCTTTACCATGGATTGGAACAAGTGGGAACTCCAACAATAATGACATAGTTATACAACGTTAGGGAGGCAGGTAATGCTTTGCATATTCGTTTTGTTTTTAATTTTAATTTTAATTTTAAATTTTTTTTATTTTTGGGATCGGCAGATTGAATTTATTAGGTATTATTATCATAATTATTCATGATGTTATTAGGTGTTGTTTCTCATTTTCTCTCTACACAAAAGACTGGTCTGCTGTACTCGTCATTTTGCCTTCTCCTTTAAGTTCACTTTTTTTCCCCTTTCTATCGCGAGATCGTCGTCACTCCTCAACCGTTCTTTCAGCTCTTTCTCTTTCACTTCCAAACTCTCTCCTACTCTCTCTTTATATCCCTCCCTCTTTCGCTTTGGAACCCATTCTTTCCTTCCCGCCCGGAAGATCCATTCCGCTGAACTTCCCCCTCCCTCTCCGCTCCGTCTGTATTTATAGCAGCCGATTCGTTTCCGCCTAACGAACTGCCCGCAACTCCGCCACAGTCTCGACCCCTCGGGTCTGTTAACCGCAACGTTGTCAACCTCGGGGTGATCCATCTTGACTCTACGGTCACTAAGTTCTTACCTGCATCGTATACACCGTTCCATTCAAGCCTATGATCTGTCTTTCCAACCCGTCATCGTGCCAGATCTATAGTGGTGGCCATGGAGGGAAATGGTAGATCGAGGGACGGCACCGATAGTGCTCCCCTTGTACGTCTAGCGCATTTACAAACCCCCCCCCCCCCAACCAATGCTAATGAGGGATTTCCTGCTCACGCAATTCACCTCTACAGAGACCAGTGTCTTCTCTTCTGTCTCATTTCGAAAACCTATCCCATCGCCGAGCCCCGTCTGCCTCTCCAAGCGGCCCCCGCGACCCGACCTCGTACCTGAAATCTCCTGAGCCCGTTGATGACTTTCGTTCGGCCCGCGCCTCTCTGGACTTGTCTCGTCCGCGGTCTCCTTGGGTCCCGTCTACAGGCTTTCAGAATAGCCAAGGAACCGAGTATACAAATGGCGCTCCGCGTCAACGTGGGGTGTCCCCGGGACGATCGCCAGGCAGACGGCAAAGCAGACCCATGTCGATGAACCTACATTCCTCGCCGCAACTGGCGCCCACCCTCACAGTTGATTCACCCCGATCCCCTCCACGGGGCTTTGGGACGCATCCAGACCACAATGAGGATATCCGGGCGTCTCGCACACCACCGAATGCTCCGCGGGAATCATTACCGCCCAGGCCGATTGCGCAGACAAACTCCCTTACTCGCCCGACCACTCCCACCTATCCATCGTCGGTGCCGACCGAACACAGAATCGCCCATCTGTCTCCAGGCCATGCCGACTCCGCGTTATCGACTCGTGACAGTCCGCCGGAGCGACGGTTGAAGAGTGCTTCGTTGCCTCCACCCGCTAACCGAGCGGAGAAGCCTAAAATCCCCGCCAAACCTGTTGGCTTGTCATTCCATGATGGAAATGGCCTGGCCCCTCGTCAGGAACGTCCCCATGTTGAGGATGGGGCATCTCCCTTCAATACGCCTCCTGGCAGTCCCGACAAATCACCGCCGAAAATACCATCCGCCACAAAGCCGCAGCCGCCGCCTTCCCCATCTCGACCTGTACCCCCGCCGGCTCGGAGATCTTTCGACGAAAGGAGACCTCACCCGAGTGCACTTGGCTTGCCGGAACGGCCACAACCTCCTCGGCGGCCATCCCCGAGGCCTACACGAGACACGAAGCCCTTGATGGTACAAATACCATCACGGCAAACCCCTCAGCAGGAAACCATGTCGGCTATACCACATACCGCTCATCGTTTCCAGACATTCGACAGCCCCAGGGAGCCCCCTGGCTTGCCCCCGCGGCAGCCGTCGATAGCACGTCGAGGTGCTCGGTCGCCAGGAGCACAGCTTGATCGATTACGGAGTCCGGTCCAGCCCGAGTGTCCTCCTCGACCGGAATTGCGCCCGCACCTTACAGGTGAGGTCCATACGCCACGACAGCTCCAGCGACAGCCGTCATTTTCCCGAGAGACTAAGCCCGGACCTCCCCCTGCCATCCCAGAGCGCCCTGTTGTCGATCGGCCGGTTGTGGAGAGGCAACCGGTGCGTCCAGTTCCGGCCCCGAGCGAGGATGAGCAGCCTCTCGATGAGGCCCCCGCCCCACGGACAGACTACCCGGATGCGTCTTTTGCCAACCGGCGACCGCCACTTCTGAAGAAAGGCCCTCAGGAGATCCCGACGCGCTATGACACGCGACTCATGGATGTGTGTGGGAAGTATGTATGTACCACTGGCTATCTGACCCGAGTTTGGGACCTCACGACGGGCGAACAGATCATGACGCTCAGTCATGGCGAAACCGTCAAATGTCTGTCGCTAGCTTTCAAACCGGGGAAGGGTCTGGAGGACGAGGGACAGCGTCTGTGGCTTGGTACCAGCGCTGGCGATCTTCACGAGGTTGATATTGCGACTCAATCGGTTGTGGCGTCACGATCCTATCCCTCGCGCAGGGAAGTGATCAAGATCCATCGGCATAAAAAAGAGATGTGGACTTTAGATGATGAGGGGCGCTTGCTCGTCTGGCCGCCAGACGAGTCTGGAACTCCTAATCTCCAGTATAGCTACCATAATCCTTATGACCGGGTTGCGCGTGGGCATACATTTTCGGTTGTAGTAGGTGATACGCTGTGGTTGGCAACGGGTAGAGAGGTACAAATCTATCGACCCAATGCACGCGATGACGTGTCCTTTAAAGTGCTCAAGCGGCCGCTGGGATCGCAGCATTCGGGAGAGGTTACATCTGGTGCTTATACTACTAAAGACGGCGGCCGTGTGTATCTGGGCCACGCTGATGGAAAGGTGACCATATACTCGACCCATGATTATACGTGTCTCGGGGTTGTAAACGTGAGTGTATACAAGATCAACTGCTTAGGTATTGTCGGGGACTATCTTTGGGCTGGGTACAAGACGGGCATGATCTATGTGTACGATACATCAACCAATCCGTGGATGGTGCGGAAGGATTGGCGGGCTCATGACAGTCCGGTGTCTGCATTCCTCCTCGACACCAGCAGCGTGTGGACGATGAACCGGCTTCAAGTGACTTCGTTAGGAACAGATAACTGCATTCGCCTGTGGGACGGCATGCTGGAGGATGATTGGATGGGTAAGTTGCATGGATCGTCACTGCATACAGCGCAACTAACGATCGGACAGAATCTCGGATGCAGGCCAAAGACGTGGAGTACTGCACCTTCCGAGAGATTCGCGCGTCAGTTTTGACGTGGAATGCCGGTGCCTCCACTCCCGGCAGCGCGCGCACATCGAGTTTTATCCAAGATGCTATTCATCCTGAGGATCCCCCGGAGATTCTAGTCTTTGGCTTCCAGGAACTGGTGGATCTCGAGAATAAGAAAATCACAGCCAGTGCGTACCTTGCACCCGAGTCGTCGGTCCAGTTGACTAACCTGTCGCAGAGAGCCTGCTTATGGGAAGTAAGAAGAAGGAGAACAGCGAGAAAGAGCATATCAGCCGACAGTACCGTGTATGGATGGAGCATCTAACACGGGTTATTAACGAGTGCATGCCCCTTGAAGAGTCGTATGTCCTTTTGCATAGCGCCAACATGATTGGTCTGTTCACGTGTATCTTTGTGAAACATAAAGAGCGACAGCGGATCAAGGATCTAAGCGCTGCAGAGGTTAAGCGTGGAATGGGTGGATTGCATGGAAACAAGGTACGCGTGCAATATGACATTGTTGTCTGCACTCAAGACTGACTGGAGCCTGTAGGGCGCACTTATCCTCCGCTTCATTCT